TACTCGCGTGTGTATGAATAATTACTATTTCTACCGATTCCTTTTCACATATTACACGAATCAAAGCGATGGTAATGAATTAGGAGCAAAACGAAATTCTATAACCACAATTGAGTCTGCAGAGTATTAAACAAACGTCCGCAAATATTCTACGAGGAATTCATCTATCAGATTACACGCGGTAATCGAATTTGTCCCAATTTGTCAGTTTCAACGAGTTGCATTCGGCAGCCGTAGCGCAACAAGCCGTTGTCGGAAATCTGATTCGATAAGGATCCGGTAATATTTCTCTAGACTAATCAACTGAATAAATTGAAGCCAGGCACACAAATTCCTGCCATCGAAGTACAAAACAGAGAATTTAAGCAAAACCTTGATCAAATGCACTAGTCAATATAGTGTAAATGGTTAATGCAGTGTTGGGTAAATGCTTCACAGTGAATACGATTCCACTGTCCACGCCAGCGATATCGCCCATAACGATCACGTTATATATAGAAAATGAAAAACGTAAAGACGTCATCAGTGGCTTGAATGAGTGAGTTTGGCGAGTTGGGGTGTTAGTAGATATTCCAATATTATACGACAGCCAGCGATTGGAATCCTTGCGATCTGTGCGCGTGGCCCTGCTGCATCTAGTGCCACGTTCCTTCGGCTCGGAGCTGCTTTCCATTTGTCGTGGGAGACGTGGAGGATCCCCGAAAGCGCAATTTTGTTTTTAACAGAAGTTTCCCATCAGATTTATTGCACTCGGTGTTGTTTTTTTATTAGTGTGTCTTCATTTCGTGAGCGCTTATAAAGCAGATAGCGGATCTGGTAGACGACGATGGAAGAAAAGCTTAGAAGTGTAGTTAGAGGGGGTGTCATTAGGCGCCTTAGCACGGCATTCAAACTGTTATTTCATGCGTCTATGCGTGCGTGCGTGCGTGTGTGTGTGCGTGTGTGCGTGCGTGTGCGCGTGCGTGCGTGCGTGCGTGCGTGTGTGTATTCATCTGCGTTTGCGTGTGCGCGAGTGCACACGTGCCTGAGAGTGAGTGTGTGTGCGTGTGTGTGTGCGTGTGTGTGTGTGTGTGTGTGTGTGTGTGTGTGTGTGTGTGTGTGTGT